ATTTATACATACAGGCACACATATGGTAGAGATTAGTGGTTGTATTGTGACAATACATATTCTTTAGATGCATATATACTTAAGTATTTAGAGTGAAGCATTATGACATCAGTAATTTACCTTAAAATGTTTCAGTAAGAAATTATATGCAGAAAAGGGTTGTAAAATATGAGAAAATAATTACAATTGTTGAATGTGACTATATGGGTGTTCTTTGTTTTATTTTTAAATTTTTTGTGTGTATGACAAATTTTAATAAACAGTTTCTAAATGAGAAAGTACTGTTCAATATATTCTTTTTAAAAAATACAATGAGCATGTGGAATATGTTTACAGGGGATTAAAGACAAATATAGGACTCAAAACTATAAAACTACTAGAGGAAAACATTTGAGAAACACTCTATATTATTGGTCTGGGCAAAGATTCCTTGAGTAAGTCCTCAAAACCACAGGTAACCAGAGCAAAAATGAACAAATGGGATCACATTAAGCTAAAGTTTGGCACAGCAAAGAAAACAACCAACAAAGTGAAGAGACAACCCACAAAATGAAAGAAAGTATTTGCAAACTACCATCTTACAAGGAATTAATAACTAGATTATGTGAAAAGCTCAAACAACTCAATAGCAAAATTATAATCATAAGTAATTGATTTGCAAGTGGGTGGAAGATCTTTTCTTCCTTTTCTTTTCTTTTTCTTTTTCTTTTTCTTTTTCTTTTTTTTTTTTTTTTTTTTTTTCCGACAGGATCTCACTCTGTCACCCAGACTGGAGTACAGTGGTATGCTCATGGCTCACTGCAACCTCAACTTCCTGGGCTCAAGCAATCCTCCCACATCAGACTCTTGAGTAGCTGGGACTACAGGCATGTGCTACCACGCCCAGCTAATTTTGTATTTTTTGTAGAGATGAAGTTTTGTCCTGTTGCCCAGGCTCAAACTCTTAGACTCAATCTGCCCACCTCGGCCTCCCAAAGTGCTGGGATTATAGGCATGAGCCACCATACCTGGTGGCAAAATATCTTAATAGACATTACTGAAAATAAGGCATATAGATTACCAACAAATACACGAAAAGATGCTCATCATCACTGATTATCATAGAAATACAAATCAAAACTACAATGAGATATCATCTCACTCCAGTTAAAATGGCTTTTTTCAAAAAGACAGTCAATAAAGACTGCTGGTGAGGATGTGGAGAAAGGGAAACACTTCTATCCTGTGGGTGGGAATGTAAATTAGAACAGCCACTGCGGAGGACAGTATAGAGGTTCTTCACAAAATAAAAATAGAACTACCATATGATCCAGCAATCTTACTGCTAGGTATATATCCAAAAGAAAGTAAATCAGTATGTCAAAGAGATATCTGCATTCCCATATTTATTGCAGACTATTCATAAGAAAGAAAATATAGAATCAACATAAGTGTCCATCAAAAGATGAATGGATAAAGAAAATGTGTACCTATACACAATGGATTATTATTCAGTCATGAAAAAGGATGACACCCTGTTATTTCAAACAACATGGGCCAGGCACAGTGGCTCATGCCAACACTTTGGCAGGCCTAGGCGGGCTGATCAACTGAGGTCAGGAGTTTGAGACTAGCCGGGCCAACATGGCGAAACCCCGTCTCTACTAAAAAAAGAAAAATTAGCAGGGATTCTTGGTGGGGGCCTATAATCCCTGTTACTTTGGAGGCTGAGGTGGGAGAATCGCTTGAACCCAGGAGGCGGAGGCAAAAGTTATAGTGAGCCAAGATCACGCAGCTGCATTCCAGCCTGGGCAACAGAGGCTGTCTCAAAAAACAAAGAAGGAAAGAAGGAAAGAAAGAAAGGAAAGCAAGGAAAAGAAGGAAAGGAAGGAAGAAAGAAAGAGGATGGAACAGGATGACATTGTGTTAAGTGAAATAAATCATGCAAATAGTACATGTCCTCGGCTCTTACGTAGACCTTAAAAAAATTGATCTTATAGAGACAGAGTAGAAGGATGGTTACCAGAGGCTGTAAAGGGTAGTGAGCAGGACAGGATAAAGAGGGATTTTTTAATAGGTACAAAAACACAGTTACAAGGAATAAGATCTAGCATTCAGTAGCATAATTGAGTAACTATAGTTAACAATAATATATTATATATTTCAAAATAACTAGCAGAGTAGAAGTAGAATGTTCCTAACACAAAAAAATTATAAATTCTTGAGGTGACAGATATACCAATTTTTCCAGTATAATCATTACACATTGTATCCTTGTATCAAAATTTCACAGCACCCCATATATAGGTACAACTAGTATGTGTCCCAATTATGAAATAAATATGCTGAACAAATTTTATACGTAAAAAGTTGACACGCATTAGACATGGTATGAAATGATAGAATTCAAAGCAACAATTATTATAATAGAGAAAAGTACATAAGAGTCAAGAATATTGATCTCAAAATATAACTTCAAAATAATTACAATAATGGTCATTGAAATTAAAAATATAATTGGTATATCAAAATTCATAGAGACTTTAATGCAACCCTTATAGAAACAAGCTGCTTGAGAACACAAAAGTAAGCAAAAGTAAAGAGAATGCGCATTTAAAAAATAATTGGAGAATGTATATTGCTTTTGAATACATCTGAGTTATTGTTAAATGTCCACTTCTTAAAGTCACGTATATACATATGAACACACACACCAAATTATATGCATATATATCATTTGAAATCCAAAATAAAATCTAACCCCACTAACTTATTTATCTGCAGATTAAATACACAATAGAGATATAGACCAATGGAACAGAACAGAGTCCTCAGAAATAATACCACACATCTACAGCCATCTGATCTTTGACAAACCTGAGAGAAACAAGAAATGGGGAAAGGATTCCCTATTTAATAAATGGTCCTGGGATAATTGGCTAGCCATAAGTAGAAAGCTGAAACTGGATCCTTTCCTTACTTCTTATACGAAAATTAATTCAAGATGGATTAGAGACTTAAATGTTAGACCTAATACCATAAAAATCCTAGGGGAAAACCTAGGTAGTACCATTCAGGACATAGGCATGGGCAAGGACTTCATGTCTAAAACACCAAAAGCAACGGCAGCAAAAGCCAAAATTGACAAATAGGATCTCATTAAACTAAAGAGATTCTGCACAGCAAAAGAAACTACCATCAGAGTGAACAGGCAACCTACAGAATGGGAGATAATTTTTGCAATCTACTCATCTGACAAAGGGCTAATATCCAGAACCTACAAAGAACTCAAACAAATTTACAAGAAAAAAACAAACAACCCCATCAAAAAGTGGGCAAAGGATATGAACAGACATTTCTCCAAAGAAGACATTCATACAGCCAACAGACACATGAAAAAAATGCTCATCATCACTGGCCATCAGAGAAATGCAAATCAAAACCACAATGAGATACCATCTCACACCAGTTAGAATGGCGATCATTAAAAAGTCAGGAAACAACAGGTGCTGGAGAGGATGTGGAGAAATAGGAACACTTTTACACTGTTGGTGGGATTGTAAACTAGTTCAACCATTATGGAAAACAGTATGGCGATTCCTCAAGGATCTAGAACTAGATGTATATGACCCAGCCATCCCGTTACTGGGTATATACCCAAAGGATTATAAATCATGCTGCTATAAAGACACATGCACACGTATGTTTATTGCGGCACTATTCACAATAGCAAAGACTTGGAAAAAAAAAAAAATGAGCTGACACGACGCTCTTCTTAACAAAATGTGGCACATATACACCATGGAATACTATGCAGCCATAAAAAAGGATGAGTATGTGTCCTTTGTAGGGACATGGATGCAGCTGGAAACCATCATTCTTAGCAAACTATCACAAGAACAGAAAACCAAACACCGCATGTTCTCACTCATAGGTGGGAACTGAACAATGAGATCACTTGGACTCGGGAAGGGGAACATCACACACCGGGGTCTATCATGGGGAGGGGGGAGGGGGGAGGGATTGCATTGGGAGTTATACCTGATGTAAACGACGAATTGATGGGTGCTGATGAGTTGATGGTTGCAGCACACCAACATGGCACAAGTATACATATGTAACAAACCTGCACGTTATGCACATGTACCCTAGAACTCAAAGTATAATAATAATAAAAAAATAAATAAAAAATAATAAAATAAAATAAAATAAAATAAAAAAAGAAAATAATCAATGGCTTAAAAGGAATGCCCAAACAGAAATTGGGTACATTTTAATTTAAACAAAAACAAAAGCTCAACATAGAAAAATGACTGGGTTCATTCAAATCAGTACTCAGGAGGAAATGTCAGTTACAAACTTATTTTTCTCCTAATTACATTAGAAAAGTCATCATACAAGAAAATCTCCACTATCCCACAAATAAACCATGTGTACCACACCTTACCTGATTCATAAGTCTGTCCTTTGATTTATCACTCTGCATTAATATATGCTCTGTGCCTTTCTCTCTCAAACTGGATAAAGAGACTTTCTGGAAGAACAGAGCATCAGGAGACAAAGTCTTGCCTATCAATAGAAAGTGCTGGTTCAAACAATTAATACAGGCAAGGATTCAATCCATACTGGTCAGTTTAATTGCCTTCTACCAGTTCCTCTCTATGAACATATGAACACACACACATACACACACCACATTTTCTAAATAATTACAACTATTTATCCAGAGACAAAAAGACAAAGCAAACCCAGCAAAAACATTAAAACAAACAAATGGATATATTTTGTGATTGGGACATTTCACTGAAGGTGACTGTGAAATAGTATTTATCTACGAATACACTCATAATTATTTTGTGATTATGAAATAATTATGAAATATTATTTCATGGTTTTGATATTATCTCATAATTATGAAATATCTTACTTTCTCTCTACCCAAATTCCCTGGTGCCTCTTCTCTCCTCCCTAGTGGCTGCTTCATCATGAATGCTAAGAGAGACCCCCCAAACTCCAACTGGTTAGTGATCTGTCTTGAAGAAAATCCTCAGCACTCTCTCCCTAATATGTTTGCTTCTGACCCCATAGATTAAAGGATTGAGGGCAGGAGGAACAACCACGTATAGATTAGCTAAGAAAATGTGGATATATTAGGGAATATCATGGCCAAAACGGTGTGTAAAGAAAGAGAAAAATGCTGCTGTAAAAAAAGGCTAAGATAACACCAATGTGAGAGCCACAAGTTTTGAAAGCTTTAAGTCCAGCTTCCCAGGAGGGCAGGCAGAAGACAGCATAGAGGATCCTGACATAGGAGAGAATAACAAGGAACACATCCAATAACAAGAGAGAAATGCTGCCAAGACCAAACATAATGTTGACTTTGATGCTGGCACAGGCCAGACGAGCAATGTCCATGTGCTCACAGTAAGTATGAGGAATGATACAATGTCCACAGAAGGGCAACCTTAAGAGGAGAAACACCAGTGGAACGACCATGTACAAGCTCCTCAGGACAGCAATGCCTGCAATGAGGCTGATGATTTTGCTAGTGAGGATCATGGTGTACCGAAGAGGTTTGCAAATGGCAATGTAGCAGTCAAAGGCCAGGGCCACCAACACGATGCTCTCCATGACAGTGAAGAAATGGACGAAGAACATCTGAGAAAGGCAGCCTCCAAAAGATATTTCCTTTATATTAAACCAGAAGATGCCCAGCATTTTGGGGATGGTGGCTGTAGACAAGCCCAGGTCAATGGAATCCAGCATGGCCAGGAAGTAGTACATAGGCCCATGGAGACTCTGCTCAGTCTGGATCACAAACAAGATAGCAGCATTTCTCAGGAGTGCAACAAGATACACAAAGAAAAGGACTCCAATCCATATGTGCACATCTTCTAGCCCTGGGATACCCAGCAGTAGGAATGAAGAAGGATGGAACTGGGTGTAGGCATTCTTTCTGTCACAAAAATCTGTTGTGCATATCAGTGACAATTATTGACTTTCCATTAGTGATTCTTGCTCCACTTCTCACTTTGTCCTGACTCCTGCTAAAAAACAAACAAACAAACAAAAAACAAACAAACCAGTATTGCGCTCTTTTTGATTCCTCTCTGAAAAAGAGTAAAATACCTCTTATTCTTCTAGGCTCATATCAGCATGAAACAGAACCAATAATTAAATCAGCTTTACCTGATTGCCACTTTTCCTACCAGAATTTATTACACATGAGGACCAAAGTCAGAGAGAAATATCTATCGGCCTGATAGAAATTTATAATGAAGTGTTTATGCAGAAACTAATTTTTAAAATAAGGTTTCAGAATCTATGAATCTGATAGTTTTACGCCCATTTTTCTTAACTTTCAGGCTGATTTTTGTTATTTGTAATCTCTGTTAATCCCTTTCTAGAGATCCTTCTAACAATAAAGTTTATATTTATGCACTGAGTGTGTGTTTGTGTGTGTCTATGCATTTCTACATGAGTTGTAGAGTACTAGTGGATTTACTTTTAGAGCAAAGAGGAAAAACCTGTATTTACATATATATGTAATTTTTTTGTTATTATACTTTAAGTTTTGGGGTACATGTGCAGAATGTGCAGGTTTGTTACATAGGTAAACATGTGCCATGGTGGTTTGCTGCACCCATCAACCCATCATCTACATTAGGTATTTCTCCTAGTGCTATCCCTCCCTAGTTCCCTTCCCCCCAACAGGCCCCAGTGTGTGACGTTCCCCGCCCTGTGTCCATGTGTTCTCACTGTTCAGCCCCCACTTATGAGTGAGAACATGTGTCGTTTGGTTTTCTGTTCCTGTGTTAGTTTTCTGAGAATGATGGTTTCCAGCTTCATCCATGTCACTGCAAAGGACATTATCTCATCCTTTTTAATGGGTGCATAGTATTCCATGGTGTATATGTGCCACATTTTCTTTATCCAGTGTATCATTGATGGGCATTTGGGTTGGTAGTCTTTGAAAAGCCTACATTTTTTATATACCACTTAAGACTTCTCAATTTTAAATATTAAGTTAATAAATTGAAAACAAGATAACAAAAAATTTTAATATGATGTTTCAGAAAATAAACAACTCCCTGATCATCACAACTTCTTTTGCAAAAAGAATATTGTATCCATCATTTTTTGAAATTGGGTAAATAAATTTAAAAGAAGATAATTAATGAAAGTATTTTGCACTTAAAGCTAAATATGGAATCAAAGATTAATTTAGATAAATACACCATATATAGAACTCATAAAAAACCACATACGTTAAAGAAACTGTAGAGAGAGGGATTTTTTCTTCTAGAGAATTTTAAATATTATCTCAGACTTACATGAACAGGGAGAAGAACTTTATTCTACAATGTATTTCCTACTAATGCTGTTCTCCATCTGGTATGCTAGTGTCTTCATGGAATTTTGCTTTTCATGGCACAGAAAGAAAAAATTTTATATGATTTTGTTTTGTAACACTCTTCCTGTCTATAGAAAAATTCTGAGCTCATTTATAATAAATTAAATTTTTCAAAAATCAATGTGAGAGATGTTTATTATTGAGCAAATTCTCTTCTAAAACTAGTTCTACAGATAATGTGAAAGTGATTGTGAATTGCACAATTGCACAGAACACTTTGATTCAAATTTGAGAATATGTGGAGGCTCGAAGATGTCAGAGTCCAGTGGTCACCATTAGGAGCAAATAAAATCAGTACGCTCTACTTTAAACCTGTAACAAGGCAAGAGTCTACAAAAAACTACCCATTTGAAGCTAATGATGGCTAGCAGAAATGGGAGAAAATTAGGGAAATTTTCTCAAGATGGAGAATATATACATAGTTATTGAGACTGTTGACAATAGCTTTAAAGTTCTCAGATCTGTAATAAGAAAATCAGACATAAAGACACAATTCTTTCTTTCCCCATTAGTGAATAATACATGACGGATGTGGAAGGGACTTCACAATTTATTCCACCAAATATCTACGAGGTCCTATATTTGCCAGCCAGCATTCGTTTGAGTAACACCTGTCAAACGCTCTCAAAAAGACCACAGTGTAGACAGAGATACAATTCCAGAGAAGAAATTTTAAAGCTGCATTGCAAGTGCTATGATAAAAAAACACATCAAATGTTGCAGGTGTAGAGATGGGGCAATGAAAATTCCAGGGAAGAAGTTGGGCTTTGGCTGTGACTTAAAGAAAAATTGCTTAATACATATATTTTATATATAATATGTATTTATATATTACATATATTTTGTATATTATATGTATTTATATATTGTATATTTTATTCTCTATATATAGAGATATATTTATCTCTCTATATTTTTTATCTCTCTCTCATATATATATAAAATTTTCTATGGAAACAAAAACAAGGACAAAGTGAGGAAAAGAAATAAATTGTCCAGCCAAGACAAAATCCCAGAATCTTGGTTCTCTGCATTAGTTTTTACAGGGATACAGTAAAATGTCCTCTGAACTCTGAACTCTGTATATGCACTTCTATGTCCTAAGAAATACCTGGTATCTTAGTTACTCTTGGTAAAACAGAAACTCATAAAGATAAAATAAGGCTGTATATCATGAAAATCAATTTCTCACACATATTTTGTGGATTTTTCTAAATGAGTTTTATAACTGGGACTTTTATTTGAGAAAACATCATTTCCAAGTCTACAAACATTTCTCAAAACATCTAGTTCCTTATTCTATGACTGTATGCTGACCTATTATTCCAGCACGCATTTGTATATTCTCCAATTTGTGTTGGGTTCAGAAATAAAACTAGGTTCCAGCACCTTTGTTTGACCTTCTAAGACTAAGGTTTACATAGAATTATATCTGGCAGACATATTCTCGAACCTTGCTTCTTTTTACTGCACCTTAATCCAATAACCCTCACAAAGTCTTCATACACACCTCATTTCATGTCCCTTGTCAGATGATGGTAAACAGAAGATAAAATTTGCATGTTTTAATTTTATATCTGCTTAATCTTCCAGTCTCATGCCCATCATTCCAGCATCAAAGCTGATTTCCTTTATCAGCTTCTTTGTCACGTTAACTTTGGAGACTCTTTTTAAAAGATTCTATTCCTCAGGCTCATGATTCACAATTCATTTCTTCAAAAATGTGATTATTAAAAACTTATTTACTGATTACCTTTAGTATACCTAATACTACCCAATAAAAGCAGGAAAAAAATCCTGTCCTTTTGCTATCACATTTAAGCTCCTGTACATAAGGTTCAGAAACAAGAGCTATGGGATATATTGCTACATCATCTTCCTCATCAGCTTTGCAGTCTTGTTGGTTTCATGTGTGAAATTTTGCAGGGTTACAGGTATATATGAATGTAGAAAAGCATGTGTAGTTTTGGGGAGGTCAAGAGTATGATTGTGCTTTCTCTCTCCATACTCTGTCCTCTATCTTTCCTTATAAGTTTGACATAAGCCTTTCTCCATCTCTCCTATTGTATTTTGCAGCTGAATTTTGATATGACTTACCTTGATCTCTAAATCTCTAAGAAGCATCATTTTGAACACCATTTGGCATCTGCATGAGTGCACAATTTAGCATGCTGAAGAGAAGGCATTTATGTTTTCATTAAAACTTTGATTCCTTTGGGATAGGAACTGCTGTATATATGACACAGTGGCACGACTTAATTAAAAGGCACTTCAAATTTGTTTTGCAGTCCCTTTTGCCCTACACATACTAGAGAAAAATATTCTTCATTGGTCCAAATAATCATTTTTTTTTTACCAACAATAATTTGTATGATTTCTTCTTTTTAAACTAAATTTCAAAACCCCTGGTGGATACCTGATTTATTGGTTCAGATCCAATCCTGCAGTCTTCATTACTTTATAAATCAATCCTCTTTCTCTCTCTCTCTCCTCAATCTCTGTCTTTCCATCTCTCTCCTCTCACTTGCTCTCTTTCTCTCTTCTCTCTCTGTACTTGCCTCTCACTTCCACTTTCACATATCTTGAAGCATAAATCTATAGTCTCTTCACGTAATCTATATAAAAAACGCAAGTTTACAATGCAAACCATCTCCCGATAAGTGTACTTCATGGAATAAAACTTTACTAATACATTCATCCCATTTCCTTCTGTATTCACTGTATTTGATAAAAACTTACAACGTTCGGTTGCCCTGGAATTATTCTTCAAACCCATCTCTTGCCACTCACTCCTCTCTTCCCTCCTCTCTGGGCATGTACTTTGTGCCATTTCTCAATTCTAAGCTCACTTTTATCCTAGGGATTTTGCCTTTTCTACTTATACAATCTGGAACATTGTTCTCTAATACCTTCCAATGTTTTGTTCCCTTACTTCATCTATCCCTCCTCAAATATCTTGGCCTCAAAGAATAATTTTCTGGCCATTGGATTTAAAAGGATCATTCTTCCAACTCTATTTTCTTAGTTTGCTTTACCTTGGTTCCTAACATTTATACCTACTTGAAATTATATTGTATTCACTGGTTTTTCTCTCATTTCGTAAGTATATTCATTCCTTGAAGGCAGAGACTATGACTGATTCTCATGGTTATATGCCAAGTCATTAGGACAGTGTTTATACTGAATAAATAATAAAATAAATCCAAAAGGAGAAGCCTAAACTCACTGGAACACACTCTTACTAGGTGCTGTCCCCTCAGTGCCTTAATGGGTCTCTTATGTCATAGTACAATGTAAACAGATGCTTTGAAGACACTTTTTTCATTCTCTTTCATGACTTCTCTTGCAGATCACTGTATCAATCCCTCACACCTTCAAATCATCGTATCCTTAACAGATTTCTGTGAAAGACAAATCTTTTATGTATTCACATAACTCACTGGTGACAGTACAAGTACACTTTCCATGTTCCGTGTTGGTTCCTAAAGCTTGCCTAATAAACTACAGCTGCATGTAAAAGAAAGAGGAAGCTTGTAAATGCATACATTTGGAAATAAGAAATGCTGAAAATAAGTCATCCAATGTTGACTTTAACTGATCAGAATGAAATGGCAAATAAAATACAAAGATGAAAGAGATAGTAAAAAAAATTAATAAAATAATGTGGTAGAAAAGAAACATAAAATAAAAAGTCTCAAAAAGGTACAGCATCGATTTTCAAAAAATTTAAAATTTCAAAAGGCTTAGTAATATCAATTTTGAAAAAAATAAAGTGATTTCAAAATATAAATTATAACCTTGATGTTATCGTGAATAATTTTATTTAAACAAATTTGCTACTTGACATCAATTTTTAAATTCCTAGGAAAACACTTTTACCAACAAACTATAAGAATAAGTATAAAATCTGTGCAGTGTCTATGCTTCTAAGACGCCACAGCAAATATCATACTTGAAAATATTTTAAAATATATTCCTCATGGATGAGAGATAAAATAGACATAGCAATTATTACCACTTTTATTTCTAGTTGTATTGGTGGTCTTACTCCTTTTAAAAAGCACAACAATAAATACATCATAAAATAAGAGATATGAAGCAACAAGGGCTGCAGTTGTCTCATGGCTCCACTGCAGACATGCACTTCCAAGTCAGTCACACAGCCACTGAAAGGCCTCAGACCGATCTGGTTGTTGGCTTGTAGTGTACAGTTTTTTTGTTGCTTTTTTGTTTTGTTTTGTTTTTGTCTTATGGTTATTTCCAGGAAGCAGCTAACAGTTAGTTCCTCTCAGAGTAAGAGCCTGAGAGAGCGAATAAAAACACATTCAATTTGCTTTTCTCTAATGACCAGTGATGACGAAAAGAAAATGTAGCACATATATACCATAGAATACTATGCAGCCATAAAAAAGAATGAGTTCATGTCCTTTGCAGGGACATGGATGAAGTTGGAAACCATCATTCTCAGGAAACTAACACAGGAACAGAAAACCAAACATCACATGTTCTCATTCATCAGTGGGAGTTGAACAATGAGAGCACATGGACACAGAGAAGGGAACATCATATACCGGGGTCTGTCTTGGGGTGGGGGACAAGGGAGGGAGAACATTAAGACAAATACCTAATGCCTACAAGGCTTAAAACCTAGATGATGGGTTGATAGGTGCAGCAAACCACCATGGCACATGTATACCTATGTAACAAACCTGCAAATTTGCACATGTATCCGAGAACTTAAAGGAAAATTTTTTAAAAAAAGAAAAAAAGAAGACACTCAAAAGACATAGTCTTGTGAAAATCGAAATCAAGAGGTGGCATCTCATCACCTCTCCCTATTCACATTGCTAGAAAGAAATACCTAATTAAACCTACTCCCAAGGGGAAGGGATGACACAAGGACATCCATACCAGGAGGTAAGAATCAATGGGTGCCATTTTAGAGGCTGTTTATCAAAGGTCCAAAGTGGGAACAACTGTAATGTTGGTGGAACAGAGAAAGCAACTGTGGTGCATTCACATGACAGAATAACATACAGCAGTGAAAATAAGGAAGCCATTGCTACATATAATGAGCACATACAAAAATGTGTTTAAGTAAAGGCCAGATATAAATGTGACTATTCGGTAATGTTTCCATTTATATAAAATTAAAACTAGGTAAAACTATTTGATAGTGATGAAAATTTAAATAGTGGTTATTTACTTGGTGGGTAGAGACTGCAAATAAAATACACATAAATCAGTAGATGCACGGTGCAAGTTCTAGTTTGAGTCCAATGGCCTGAGAACAAGGAGAGTCAGTGGTTTAAGTTCCAGTCCAAGTCTGAGCTTAAAAGCAGAAGACTGATGGTACAGCTCAAAGACAGTTTGGCTAAAACATTCTTTAATATTCAACATCATACTCTGTTCAAGCCTGCAATGGATTGGATGAGTCCCAACCACAGCAGGTAAGGCAATCAGCTTTACTCAGTCTACAATTCAAATGTTAATATCATCCAAAACATCCTTACAGACACATCCAGTTATTAATATCTGAAATTGCTATAGCCCAGTCAAGTTGACACATAAAATTAAACATTACGATAGATTCTGTTTCTAAATTTTGATTGTGGTATCATAGATTTTATCACCCTGTGGAAATTTATTGAACTGAATATTTGTGTTTTGAATTTTTCTGATTTTACTATGCTTTTACATGAAGTTAGGCCTGATAAGACTATATCTTCTCTTTCCTGTCCCTATTTTATCTCTAGATAAATTTTGACTAAAGTGTGAAACAAACTTGGCCACTCGCAGGATACTGACAATCATATAAGAAAGCAGGCACAGGTAAAATTAACTTTTCAAATGAGAAGTCTCATGGTTACTTCCTGTCTTATTAATTCAACCTAGCACCATTTTGGGAATAACCGAGCATTCTGTACATCCTAATGTGAGACAATACAAAGTTCAGAGTACTGCATATGAATTGGTCTTAACAAAATTTGCTTGATTCACATATAATAAAATAATATATAGTAGAATAGAATAAAGTAAAATAGACTGCAGAACAGAATAGAAAACATGATGTGGTTCCTTCCACAATTTCTCCCAGACACACAGAGATATGCACATAGAGGGACACATACAGCAGAGATTAATGGTTATATTGCAAAAATTTATATTTTTGGATAAGTATACTTAGTATTATAGTGCATTGTTTTGACATCTGTAATTTATCTTAAAATATTCTAATAAGAAGTTGTGTTTTTGCATATATGTGAAACATCTAAGAAAATATTTACAATTTTTGACTGGCTGTGTGTGTGTTCTCTGTTCTATGTATGACAAATTTTTATGAATAGTTTTTAAATGACAAACACTGTTAAATATATTTACTTTGTAAAACACACAGAGCAAATTGAAAAATGTAAAAAAGGTGTTACACCAGTACACTAATTACAAAACAATAGAATTCAAAGAATTCTTAGAGAAGGACACATGAGAATCAAGAATGTTACCCACCTTGAAATATAACTTTGAAATAATTGTAACAACAGGTAATTGAAATAAAAATGTAATTGATATATCAACATTAATAGAAATAGATTTTAACTCAACACTTTTAGAAATAAACTAAGTACACAAAAGTAAGTAAAATAAAGAGAATGTACATTTGAGAACTAATTGGAAAATGCATGTTGCTTTTCAACACATCCAGAATATTGTTAAATAACGATTTCTTAAAGACACACAAAAAGAGATAGATACACATACCAAATTATAAATATAAGTAACATTTGAAATCAGCAATAAAATCCAACCCCACCAACTTATTTATCTGTAAGTTAAATGCACGATTGAAAATAATCGATGACTTAAAATTAGCAATGAAAAAAGAAATCAGAATACATTCTTGTAAGGATCTTTCATCTCCTTGGTTTTATATACTCCTAGGTATTTTTTAAGCTATTGTAAATGGAATTGACTTTGTGATTTAGTTCTCAGCTTGAACGTTATTGGTGTTTAGGAATGCTACTAATCTTTATTACCTTTTATTAAAAAATAGCTTTTATTTTAGATACAGAGTGTACATTGTTACCTGGGTGTATTGGACCCAGGTAGTAAGCATAGTACTCAATAGGCAGTTTTTCAACTGACAACCCCCTCGTTCCCTCCCCCCTCTATTAGTCCTCTGTGTCTATTGTTCTCATGTTCATGAGCATGTCTGCTCAGTGTTCAGCTCTCACATGTGAGAACATGCAGTATTTGGTTTTCTGTTCCTACACTAATTTGCTTAAGATAATGGCCTTCAGCTCCATCCATTTTGATTTCATTCATATGATTTCATTCTTTTCATGACTGCTTAGTATTCCATACTTTATATGTGACACGTTTTCTTTATCCACTCCACCATTGATGGACTCCTAGGTTGTTTCTTTGTCTTTGCTATTGTGAACAGCACAGTGATGAATATATGAGTGTGTATTTTTGGTTTAATGAGCTATATTCTTTTGAGTGTATATCCAGTAGTAGGACCACCAGGTTAAATGGTAGCTCTGTTTGAAGAAAGCTGTCTCTCTTTGCAGATGATATGATTCTATACATAGAAAAACCTAAAGACTCTGCCAAAAGGGTAGTAGAACTGAGAAGCCATTTTATCAGGGT